CTGTTATTATAATTCTGATCCTTTTGCTCTATTATTATTTTTCCAGCAGTTTCGTTTATAAGCAAAAAAAAAAATCATTTCAGGGACTAGTAATATCCGGAAATGGTACTTCAGTTAGTGTTTTGAGCATTCCTGTTCATAGCGTTTTTGTCAAAAATGCTAATTTAATCATTTGTGGAAATAATGAACAGCTATGTGCAATTGAACTTGATGATTTGAAAATATTGATGAGACAATCTTTAATACATCAAGCATTTGCACTTGTTCCTGATGATGATGTATTAATTGTAATAGACAAACAGGTCACTTTTTATAGAATTAATATTAATCAGTGATTGCAATTACAACAGTTAAATGATTGTAAATGATTGTTGTATTATTTCCTCTACAAATAATATTACTAAATTATTGAAATTTAAATTAATTAATTAAAATATTTCGTTTTGAAAAATGAAGTGTATATGGCAAAAAGAAACCATTATGATAATATGATAAGATATGATGCGATAAATAAGAAAATAAGAAAATAATAATCGTAAAAATTTTTTGAAATAACATTTAACATTTCCGATATATTTAAGGTATAAATAAATATTTTGTAATATTCAAGCAGAAATTTGTATCAGTTCAGGAAAATTCATATATAATTTCAAAAATTGATATTATTTTCTTTTGTAAATACACATAATATTTCCTTCCTCAATATTTGGAAAAAATCAAAGATTATGTGATTCGAATATTTTTTTTTTTCATTCAAAGAATTATCCGAGAGAATTTTTGCAAAAAAAAAAACATACTACAGCTTAGTTAAATTTAATGTTCCTTAAGTAAAATTTCTGTCAGATCAACCGGTTTGTTAGAATGGAAATTCATTAATGCAATCAATTCATCATTTGTTTTTGGAATTTCCTGATCCAGAAATGTCCAAAGGGCAAGAGTTTGAAGATAATAAGGATGATTGAGACCAAAGCATACTTCAAATATACTCATCGCCTCATATGCATATGATACAGCCTGAAATGCAAATTTATATTTGAAAAAAATAAATGAGAAAATTAGATGAAATAAGTAAATGTGTTAAATATTATTGTTTAGTAAAAAGACAAATGGGCAAAATAATGCAAATGATACGATAAGAAGAGCTTTTCAAGCTTTTTAAGAATTATTAGCGTAGATTTGAATAAACTGTCAATGAGAAATTAAACTTACTTCTTTTCTTTCACCCTTTTCGATATGTGATTTGACAATTTGCAATAATTGATATGCGAGATGTCTATCAGACTGTGGAAAACATCTGAAATAATTATTGTATTTTAATTAACATTCCTTCATTTAATATTTAATCCATTTCAATTAAGTACCATTTTGAAATGCTTTATTTTTTGTCTTTATGTCGCTATCCTGAAATATGTTTTTTTCCATTATTCCTTTTTTCGACATCATTTTTGATGAAAAATTTCTAATTTAAAATCAACTCTTCAATTTTTTCGAAGTGAGAAATCATTGCCAAGAAATAAAGATGATAAATTAAATCAGAAATTAAATTATAATAAATCAGAAACGAATTCAGAAAATGAATGATGATGGATTGAATCATCGAAAAAGCCTAAATTTTTGAAATTACTTCTTAAATTTAAATTTGACAAATTATGAAATAAATGAGGAGAGAAAGAACAAGCATATATGTTTGCAGTTTTCATTCGTTTTTTTTTTCTTTCGTGAAGAAAATTAAAACTTACAATCTGTAATTTTCATAAACACTTTTTTGAACGAATAGTAAATTATCCTTGAGCGTTCCGGTAACGTGAAGAAGTGCCGCTTTTAAACGTGTCACATAAACATTTTTGGAATGCAAATATTTCATTGCTTCATTAAGTTTTTCTTCAATCTGTAACGTTTTTTTTTTCCTCTTCTAACTAATTTTAATCTTTTTTATTAAACAAAAATTTAATTTGGAAGCGGAAAAAATTCAAATTTAATTATCATACATTTTTGGGTAGCAAAAAGAAAGACTCAAATTTCATTATCTTTCATCTTCGGGTAACAGAAAAAAAAAATTGAAATTTAATTAACATACATCTTTGGCTTTACTTCCGATACTAAATCGAACCGGAAGGTTAAGCATCAATTCTTGACATTTTTTTACATGATTTTCATCCGTAATTTGTTTACATTTCGGACATTTGATATTTATCGGTTCCGAATCTTCCGTAATAATTAATGCTTCATCACAATGCTCATTTATGCAACGTATTGATGTTAAAATAGCATCAGAAGGATCAACACATCGATCACATTGACAATTAAAATACCTAAAATAGTCATCTTATCAACTTATCATTTTATCATCATCATTATTACCATTATCCAACTATCATCATCATTTTAAATGATGCAGTTGTAGCACCGAAACGATGCATATAGCATGTATAAATTAGATTAGACGTTTTGAATGGGAGTAACTTTAATTTATCGAATTGAAATTGTTGATTTTTGCTCATAACGATAATTATTTTACTTTTATCATTAATTATTTCTAATGAAGAAACGATATATGCAAAATACCATTTTGATTGAAGCTCTTTTTGACGTTGATATCGTGAACGACCAATATCAATATAACTTATACGTGCTTTAACTATATCCGAAGCATTTGTTTCTGAAGTTAATGGCCTTAGATAGGCATGAAATCCATCGAAAACAAGCGAGCAATTGGGACGACAGGAATGATCATAGACGGATACGCCTAGAAATGGTTTTATTTCAAATTTTTGAAAACTTTAAAAAACGAAAACAAAAAAAAATTCGTTTTTTAGTTGAAATTAGCGTGAATACTTTAGGGAATTTTAGAAGCTAAGAAATTTTGTTGCATTGTTACTTTAATTTATAGTCTAAAGGTCAAAGAGGATTAGCAATGTTTGAGAGTTTCAAATCAATTAATTTTTTACACACACACACACA